CATCAATCTTCCATCATCCACCCATCATCCATCAATCATCCATCATCCACCCATCATCCATCAATCATCCATCATCGTCCATCAATCATCCATCATCCACCCATCATCCACCCATCATCCACCCATCATCCACCCATCGTTCATTCATCATTAATCATCCATCGTCGTCAGCGTCACCACGTCATCAAATGCAACCAGTTTCTCAATGAGGAGGTTCCCGATAGCCCTTGGCATTAAGACGTCGGTCCTGATCGACCAGATGTGTGATTTATTGATTGATTTATTGGTTGATTGATTGATTGGTTGGTTGGTTGATTGATTGATTGACTGACTAATTATTGATTGATTGATCAACTGCTCGATCGGTTGATTGATTAACCGACTGATCCATTGATTGATTCTGATTGAGTGACCGATTAATTTTCGGGTTGATGGATTGATTTTCATTGATTGACTCATTTGAGTTACTGTTACTTCAACCTCTTTCTTTCACCTCCGTCCATCGCTATAGAAAAAGATCGTCTTGACCTGCCCCCCTATCCTCCCACCAAACCCCGGGAGGGGGGGAGAGAGGAACGGGGGGAGAGAGGAACGGGGGAAGAAGAGGGGGGAAGAAGAGGGGGGAAAGCGGAGGGAAAGTGGAGGAAGGAGTAGGGCGCGCGGGGGAGGGGGACTAACCGAAGCTAAAGCGGGGGAGCGAAGAATTGCCCTCACCGAGAAGGGAGAGTGCACAAAAAGAAGATAAGACTTTGGAGCACAATATACTCGCCATGCACTCAAATTTCAAAAATGCACCTGCAAAAAAATCATATATTGTTTAAGAAAGAAAGAATGGGCAATTAAGGAAAAACGGCGGTTACAAAGCAAAGGCGGCTCTCACTAGCAACGAGACGCAGCAGATTAACTTTCTCCAAATTCATAAAAGCTCCTGCACGAAATTCCAACAATCTCGTGATTTGCAATGAACTGTTTCCAACTCGTGAGAACTCTCCACGCGGGCGCACCTCTCACAGTTTCGATTCCCGCGCCTCCGGCGACGACTCCTCGGCAAAAAGAAAAGACGACGACGGAGAAAACTCTCCTCAAGATAAGACCAAAAACGCCTGGTAAATCGAGAAATACTCCCCCCCCCCCAAAAAAAAAGAAACTAGCATATCCTCGTTTCCAATCTCTGTATTCAGCGCTCACGATTGAACACCCTAGATTCAGTATTCAGACCCACTTTTCTTCCCCTCCTATGTATCATTTCCTCTCTTCCGAAGGTTGAACCGAGCCTTCACCAAGCCTCCAACGACGCCACACCCTAGAGTCAGTATTTAGACCCACTTTCCTACGCCTATTATGTATCATTTCCTCTTTTCCGAAGGTTTAACCGAGCCTTCACCAAGGCTCCAACGACCCCCAACCTAACCTCACACAACCACGCACTTCGTACCAACTGACAAGCAGTTACCTGAATAGCCACTTCAACCATCCGGATGTCGACTCAATTCCTCCCCTTCCTGTACCATTCCATCTGGTCGAGAGGTTTTACCGAACCTTTACCCGACCCTTTACCGAGCCTCTAACGAACCCCAACCCAACCTCAACCGCGAGGTCGGCTGCTTGCTGAGCACGAACCTGCTGCTGCTGACTACGCATGAACATAACTGCCTGCCTGTCTAGCCACACTGCACCCAGCCATCATAGCGCTTCAACGAACTCCAGCCTTCCACTTCAAGAAGCTCGCAATAGCTTTTACCCAAACCTCTGGTCATATCAAACGGACCCCAATACCGAACCTTTTTTCGAGCCTCGGCTTTTCGCTCGATTATGGGGTCAGAGAACCTCTAGGATTTCGCGAAGGAAGTCTGCCGAACCTCCCCCTCAAGCAGTTGGTCGTACATCAAAAGAGACTTGGCGCTTCACGGAAGCTGAACCGAACCTCCAAACGCCCACGGAAGCGCTGGGCTTACAAACCACCCGAACCTCCATGGCAGCTCTACTTCCTCCTCCATCGGCCTTGCACTCCGGAAGCTGAACCGAACCTCCAAACGCCCACGCAAGCGCTGGG